AAGAGAGGAAGAAGCTGCTGATATCCTTGCCCCTCAAAAGAACATCACTGCCATTACCAACATCATCATCATCTGGTGGTGGTGGTGTGGGCCTCATTTTTGTGACCATTGTCGTGTGGCAGAAGCTGCAATGGTGGCAACCCAAATAAACCAGATTGTGGTAGCAGCAGAATTTTGGAATTGCCGGTTTTTTGTCTGCTCCTCTGAATGGCAGATCCATAGATTTTTTTGTTGAGACTCTTCCTTTATTTTGCATTCATTTTTTGGGGGATTTTTATTTTTCATTCCTCTTTACCGGTTGCCAGGCCAAGTGTTAATGGTCGTTTTTTTTATTTTTTTTTTCGTCTTTTGTTGTTGCTTCCCTTGCGCTTTGGCTTTGTAATACAACCTGCTTTTTTATTGTTGTTTTTGCTGATTTAATAATAATAGCCTTCTCTTGATCCTGGTTTGTCCTTCCATTTTGGGCGTTTTGTTCCATTTTTTGGTCATTTATTATGCTTTATTGTTTCCTAAACAGGTCCTTAATGATATTTTCGTCTGCCGTTTTTTACTTCCTCCCCTCCCCTTTCCTTTATTTTCTTTTTGGATAATTGAGGTTTTGATTTTGCTTTTTGTGGTTGATAAGGATATTTAACACAGGACTTTTGAACTTTCCCTTTTAAAACATTGTCACCAGACCGGAAAGGAATGCGAGGGAGAAAGGGATTTTATGGATATTTTAAATATCCAGGTTTTTATTTTAATATTTATTTTGAAGACTATGGACAAGAATCAAAAATTCACGACTGTCTGTAGACCTTGAAGAAATATTTTTAAACCAGTGAGCGGAGCAGTATAGTCGGATGGGGCCGACCATATGATACCCTACACAACTACCACGAAAATCTAACTTTCTGTGGTACTACATTCTGAGCATGGGCAATACTTCGCGATATTTGTACCCTTTTGACCGACTAGAGGTCAACAAATATTATTGCTAATATTCAGTGCAGTCCATCTAAATTCTTGTCTAGATTCCCTACACCGTGGGTTGTATTGCAATGTTCGGCTTTCAATTGTGGCCTATAGATCGACAAAAAAAAAAAAAAAAACACAAAAAATTAGGTTTTAGGTTTTCAGTTCAATTCATCCCAATATTATTATCTGATCATCACCGGAAATTATAGGCGTTGACCTTGCCATACCTAGATCCTCATGGAAAATTTCAAAGCGATCCGGGCTATATTTTCGCCCTCTAATGTGGTAATGGGTTACTAAATAATATCTGAATACGTAAGCACCTGTAAATATTTACGTTGAACTCCCACATCCGAGTACATACGACAATAAAAACGGTATCAATTTAAAGGTCAACCACTCCTCTTAGATACACTATGAACTTATCGGGTCTATATCCTTCTGGAGTAAATATATACGCCATAGAATTCAAATTTTGTAATTTTTCACACAAAAGTCAGGGTCCATTTGACCCATTAAATATTGACCGATGTTTATCAAAACATGCATACTTATTCTTTGGACCGATTCCCTTCTCCATGTAAAAATTCACGATGTTCGGACCATAATTGCGGTCTCTAGAGCAACCAGAAAAACCATTTCATCTCCTAAATATTAACCGATCTTTACCAAAAACAATAGGGTTCTTCATTGGCCAGAACCCATTCTACATGCAAAATTTCGTGAAGATTGGTCAATAGGGGTCTTCATTGGCCATAACCGGTCCATCATGCGGTCCCTGGAGCGATCAGAAAAACCGAAAAAATTTAAGTATTTGGTCCATTTCATCCTCTAAATATTAACCGATCTTTACCAAAAACAATAGGTGTCTTTATTGGCCAGAACCCCCCTCCTACATGCAAAATTTCGTGAAGATTGGTCGATAGGGGTCTTCATTGACCATAACCGGTTCTACATGCAACATTTCGTGAAAATTGGTCCATGACTGTAGCCCTTATCGTGTTTACAAAATATAATGGACAGACGGACTGACGGACGGACACACATGTCTAGATCGACTCAGCTAGTCGAGATATAACGATCGGTACACTTAAAGGTGAGTCTAGGACCAATATTTCCCGGCGTTACAAACTCATCGGAGAAGAATAAGTTTCCTTCTCATCGCATATAAAGTGCTATCCAGTGTGCTGTGTGAACGACTGAAGCCAATGGTCAATGACATCATTGGACCATACCAATGCGGCTTCAGACCTGGCAAATCCACCATTGACCAAATCCTGGAAAAGACCCACGAAAAACACATCGACACATTCCACCTATTTGTCGACTATAAAACCGCAGTCGACAGCCCTATCCGTTCAGAGGTGTTTAAAGCCATGTCTACGTTCGGCATTCCTGCAAAATTTATACGGCTATGCAGCATAACTTTAAGTGGCACAAGGTCAGCAGTTAAAGTAGGAAAGGACCTATCGGAGCCCTTCAATGCCGAACGACGATTCAGACAAGGTGACAGTTTGTCGTGTGATCTTTTTAACATCCTTCTGGAAAAGGTCATACGAGACGCAAAGGTGAACAGAAATGTCACTCTGTACACCAAACAACACATGTTACTCGCCTACCCCGATGACATCGATATAATGGGTCGTACATTGCGAGCGGTCACCTTTGAACAAATTGAAAAGGAACCACCTTTGAACAAAATGAAAAGGAGTCTGCCAAAGTGTGTCTGACAGTAAACGGCGAGAAGACCAAGTTGATGGTATCAACGCGCAAGACGTCCAGTGGACCAACTTTGGAATTTGAGAACTACAGCTTCGAGGTAGTCAAAGATTTTATATACCTTGGTAGCGCCATAAATAAAACGAATGACATCAGTTTTGAAATTCGGAGAAGGATTGTGATGGCCAACAGATGCTACTATGGTCTAAGTAAGTAAGTTAAGAAACAAGGCCACCTCCCGCCAGACCAAACTCACACTTTACAAGACGCTGATACTACCCGTGCTATTATAAGGATCTGAAGCATAGGTACTTGCGCAAGCAGATGAGGCAACTCTTGGGCCGATCTGCGTCGACGGTGAATATCGGCGTCGAATGAACCACGAGATTTACAATTTATACGCGGACATCGACATAGTCAGTCGTATTGAGCTGCAGCGACTACGGTGGCTAGGCCATGTTGTGCGAATGAATGAGAATGCCAAAATTCATATAAAAGGAGCCTACTGATGGTTCCCGTAGAGGGGGAAGGCCACGAATTAGATGTAAAAACCAAGTAGAAAACAACATCTTGGAACGTGGTCTTCCAAATTGGTGAATTTGCGCACAAGAACGACGCGCTTGGAAATCTTTTTTAAGCTCGGCTTATGGAGCAACCGTTCTGTAACAAGCCAGCTAAGTGTGGCTACACAAAACTATAATACCCTGACAATAAGCTATAATACCCTGCGAATAATTGGACCTTTAAAAAAAATTCTGAAACCAAAGTTTCTAAAATTACCTTTCCCTCTTCTTATTCTATGTCTCCTCAAAATTCCATCAATCACTTCAATATATGATCGATATCATTTTTTTCCGAAGGTGAAGGGTGCGTATAAAATTATTTCATTGAGAAGAAGAAAAAATCTAACTGATACATGAATCATAAACCTGTATCAAATCTCTTAGCCTTTGTCTTTCAAATCCGAACTATTTTTGGCCATAAAAAAACGAAACGAATATTTATACCTTTTATGTTCAACGATTATAGCCGACACATGCTATAAAGCAGAGAAATATGAAATAAAGACAACAAACAAAAGGAAAGAAACATATGATTTTTTGTATTTATTCTTTGACCTGTTTTCTCTACATCAAAGAGACAATGGGAGAGAGAAGAAAATATATCAGCTCCGTATGTCAATATTTATCTCAAATTATTAATTAGAAATTTAAATTAATTAAATATTTGAAATCTAAATGGATGGATTTTTTGTTTAACAAGGGCAATGACTGATGAGTTTGAAGGGGGTTTTAAGGTAGCAGATTAGGTTTCTGAGGGCATATTTTCAAAGCTATTGATTTTCTATATCCGTAGCATAATTATGAGGACCACAAAAACAAGAAGCATCATTTATATATTTTTCATAAATACCCTCCAATTGCCAAATATTTTCAATTATGCCATAACCTGCCCATACTACGCCCCCACCATTCAATTTAATTAACATTAAAAAAAAATAATCTACAACCTACACTACAAAAAAAGGTAATTAAACAACAACAACACATTTTGGCATAAATTAATTTAAAATAAATAATACCAAATTGAAAAAAATGAAAACAAGACAGACAATTGCCAGCCTCTGGTCTCTGGGTCGCCGTCAAATGTTCCAGATGACTGAATTCTGCTATTCAGTTGGTGGTGGCCATCACAACGATATGAAATGACCAAATAACAGCAGCAACAACAATGCCAAAATAAATATTTATGTTTCTGGTCACTATTCAATAAACAATGGATATTTGATGGTGTTGCTATTCAAAATAAACCTACAAAAATAATGGAAAGAATTGAAAAAATTGATGGAGAATTTTCTATTGGATTTATTTTTTAATTTTTTGAATTTTTAAGGACTACTTGCTTGGATTTATTTTAAATGTTTTTAAGGTCCATTAAAGGGCGCCTGGATTTTTTATAATTTATTTTTCCGTCCATCTATAGACTTGGTTCTATTATTTTCAAGGTCCATTAAGGTCGTGGTTTCCGTCTACTGGCATTTTTTATTCTTCTATATATTGAGCATTTTTATTCTTGTTTTTTTTTTTTTAATATATCATGCTACATTATTTCAAAATAAAAATTATAGCATGCAATTTTTTTCTTTATTATTATCATGCGTATACATTTTTTTATTCTTTTGTGTATTCATCAGAATTTTTTAAAAATATATATCTTTTTACAAAATTTCAAAATAAAATTTATAGCATACCATATTTTCCATACTTTTGTTTATTTCTTTTAAAATAGACATTAAAAATCCTTTTCGTTTTCTTTATTTCCAGATTTTAAATATGGAAGATGATTCAAATTGGTATCGTGCTGAATTAGATGGCAAAGAAGGTCTCATACCCAGCAATTACATAGAAATGAAAAATCATGAGTAAGTCTTTTACACCCACAATCATTTTTTGTTATTTATTTATTTATTCCAACATTTATTTTTAATTTCTCAACCATTCCATTTAGTTGGTACTATGGCCGCATTACCCGCGCTGATGCTGAAAAACTATTATCGAACAAACATGAAGGCGCTTTTTTAATACGTATTAGTGAATCAAGTCCGGGTGATTTTTCATTATCGGTTAAGTAAGTTGATGGTTTTTTTTTCTTTTTTTAATTATTATTGTTAATAAATTATTTTTGTTTTTTTCCTTAGATGCCCCGATGGTGTTCAACATTTTAAAGTATTACGTGACGCACAAGGTAAATTCTTCCTTTGGGTGGTTAAATTTAATTCATTAAATGAATTGGTGGAATATCATCGAACCGCTAGCGTATCCCGTTCACAAGATGTCAAATTAAGAGATATGATACCTGAAGAGGTGAGTGTTTGGAGCATGAGAATTACTTATAGAGTTGAGGAGGAAAACTTCTTCTAATTGAAGATCAGTTGAAATGGTAAAAAAAAGAGTTGTAAAAAGTATACAATTTAGTCTTCTAAAGCAGGATCTTCAGGTCTTCTAAAGGAGGACCATTTGTTGAAACAAAAGCTGTTCTTATAGAAGACTATGTAGCCTTGTCAGGGAAGACCTAAGTGGTATCTTTCTGAAGACAAAATGTTCTTATTTTAGAAAACTATTTGGACTATTGTAAAAGAAGACCTTTTAGTTTTCTATATAGAGGATCCTTTTGTCTTCATAAGACAATTTGGAATTTTAAATGGAGACATTTTGGTCTTCTACAAGAAGGTTTTTGGTCCTCTATAAAGAGATATATTTGGTCATCTATAAGAAGTCCTGTTGGTAGCCCAAAAGAAGACCTTCTTGGTCTTCTTAAGAAGACCTGTTAGTCTTGTACAAGATGTCCTTTTGGCCTTCCAGAAAAAGGTCTGTTGGTCTTCCAAAATAAGATTTTTTGGTCTTCTACAAGAAGACCTTTTGGTCTTCCAAAAAAAAGAACTGTTGGTCTTCCAAAAGAAGACCTTTTGGTCTTCCAAAAGAAGACTTATTTGGTCTACTATAAGATGACCATTTTTGCTTTTGCTCTTCTTCAAGAAGATCTTTTGGTCATCTTCTAGAAGACCTTTTGTTCTTCTTCTAGAAAACCTTTTGGTCTTCTTTTTTGGTCCTCTATAAGATGACAATTTGGTCTTCTTCAAAAATACCTTTTGGTCTTCTTCAAAAAGACCTTTTTGTCTTCCAAAAGAAGACCTTTCGGTCTTCAATAAGATAATCGTTTGACCTTCTTTTTGATTCTCTACAAGATGACAATTTGGTCTTTTTCAAGAGGACCTTTTGGTCTTCCAAAAGAAGACCTTCAGGCCTTCTATAAAAATATATTATTGATCCTCTATAACAAGACCTTTGATCTCCTACAAGATGACAATTTGGTCTTTTTGAAGAAGACCTTTTGGCCTTCTTCCAGAAGACCTTATAGTCTTCCAAAAGAAGACCTTTCGGTCATCTATAAAAATATATTTTTGGTTCTCTATAGGAAGACCTTTTGATCTGGCGTTACAGAGAAACACCTTTTGGTCTTCCAAAAGAAGACTTTTTTGCCTTCTTTAAGATGACAATTTGGTCTTCTTGAAGACGGCCTTTCAATCTTCTTGAAGAAGACCTTTTGGTCTTCCAAAAGAAGACCTTTAGACCTTCTATAAAATTATATTTTTGATTCTCTATAAGATGACAATTTGGTCTTCTTGAAGAAGATCTTTTGGCCTTCTTCCAGAAGACCTTTTAGTGTTCCAAAAGAAGAACTTTTATTCTTCCAAAAGACGATCTTTTGGTCATCTATAAAAATATATTTTTGGTACTCTATAAGAAGACCTACTACTACTATAAGATCCTTTGGTCTTCTTTTTTAGTTATCTATAAGATGACAAATTAGTCTTCTTCATGAAGACAATGTGATTTTCTTCAAGAAGACCTTTTGGTCTTCTATAAGAAGAATTTTTGGTCATCTAAAAGAAGACCTTTTGGTCTTCTATAAGAAAATCTTTTGGTCTTCTTTTTGGTACTCTATTAGATGACACTTTGGTCTTCCAAATGAAGACCTTTTGGTTTTCCCAAAGAAGACCCTTTTGTTTTTCCAAAGAAAACCCTTTTGTTTTCCAATGGAAGACCTTTTGGTCTTCTATAAAAAAAATATTTTTGGTTCTCTATAAAAGTCCTTTCGGTCTTCTAAAATAAGACCTCTTGGTCCTCTTTAATAAGACTTTTTGATCTTCATTTGGTCTTCTTATTTGGTCCTCTATAAGATGACAATTTGATGTTCTTCAAGAAGACATTTCGGCCATCCATAGAAATATATTTTTGGTCCTCTTCAAGAAGACCTTTTAATCTTCTATAAGAAAATATTTTTGTCTTCTTGTTGGTCCGCTATAAAATGACAATTTGGTCTTCTTCAAAAAGACCTTTTGATCTTCCATTTGGTCGTCCAAAAGATAAAAAGTTTCCCCATGGCCTCAAAAGATTCCGTTTTTTTTTTTTTAATTTTTGATCTCCTCAATTAATTGTTTTCCCTATTTTTATTCCAGATGCTTGTACAAGCCCTGTACGATTTTGTGCCACAAGAATCTGGGGAATTGGAATTCAGACGTGGTGATGTCATCACCGTAACAGATCGTTCCGATGAGAATTGGTGGAATGGTGAGATTGGCAATCGTAAGGGCATTTTCCCAGCTACCTATGTAACGCCATATCATCACTCATAATTATTGCTTAAATATAACAATCACCAACAACAACAACCGCAACAACATCCCCACACAAACAACAACAAATATCCCAACAAAATATCCTATTAAATTATAACAAAAAAATTAAAAGAAAATTATCGAATAAAGAAGAAAATGGGAACTTTTTTAAAAAGTCAAAACAAAAAAAAAACCAAACCCATCTCGTCCAAACTTTGCACACAACAAACCAACCCCACAACAACAACATTGTAAACACCGTCATATTGAAACACAACAGCCACAACAACAAGAAAAACAAACGCAATTTATTTAAATAAACGCCACATTTTTTTACACACAACACATACCATATGGTTTTTTTATGTTTTTTATAAATATATAAATAAACAAAAGATACAATACACAACAACAAGAAGAAAAACAACCAACCTAAAAGTGGAAAATAAATCCGTAATCAATGCATTTGTTTTTTAGAAACCGATAACCGATTTTTTTACTTTTAAAGGGAAAAACAAAAACCATGTAATAATGAAGAAAAACACACAATATTTTTTAGTAAAAAAAATAATTTTTTTACCTAAAACGAAAAAATATACAACAAAAAACAACCATAATAATTTATAATAATTATTAAAAACAAATCTTAAACTATAAATATATAATATAAAAAATAAAAAACAAAAACCCTATTATATACATTATTTTATAACGATTTAAAATCATTTGCTAAGAGATCAAGATTTTTTCAAAAAAATAAAAAATTAATAGTTATAATAAAATACAACAAACATTATGTATGAAAAAAAAATTGAAAAACCATTGTTTCTTTTTTTAAGAAATTTATTATTTGTTTGCTTCCATTTTTATTTTTTAATAAATTAAAAAATTAAAAATTATTAAACAAATTAAACTATGTGAAATATGCTGTTTAATACACAACAACAACAACAAATTGCCATATTTTTTAGAAAAACAAAACAAAAAAATACCATGAAAACAACAACAAGCTACTGCATAAAACTATAAATAATAAAATAAACAAATAAAATTTAAATTAAATAAAACAAAAAGTATTTTATGTTAAATAAAATGATGATAAATAATTATTTAGAAAATAAATTTTTGTTTTCTTTTTCTTTAATTAGGAATACGTCCTCTTTCACATTGGCAAATGGAAATCCCAAAGATTTTTCTTTGCCATGTGTTAGGACGGCCTTCTATTTTCAGGATTAATTTTTTTTTTATTCTTTTGTTTTTGTAAATTGAATTTTTTTTTTATATATTCTTATAGGTTCTATATATAAATATTGTTTGTATTTAAATCGTGTACTTTTCTTTTATTAAATATTTTTTATTTGTATTTTTTTATATTTTCTATATATATATATAAATATTGTTTGTATTTAAGTATAGTACTTTTCTTTTTTTTGGAATGTAATGAAAATATTGTTATGGAATATTTGTAAATTTTAATACAAAAGTTTCCTTTTAATTATTATAAAACGCAAAAAATTTTATATTTTTTCTTCTTAACTAAAAATAAAATTAGAAGACCCTTTAGTCCCCCTATTGGTAGAACTCTTCGAAAAGAAGCCCTTTCGGTCTTCTATAAAAATATATTATTTTCTATAAAAATATTTATTTAGAACACCGAAAGATATTCTTTGTTTACGTTTGGAAGCCCAAAAGATATTCTTTTAGAATACCAAATAAGTCATCCAAAAGAAGATTAAAAGGCTTGCCAGAAGGCCGAAAAGTATTATAATAGAAGGCCCAAATGGTCTACTTATAGAGGATCTAATTGCCATCTTATTGAAGACCGAGTGATGGACTTATAGATTTGGAATCATTCAGAAGACCAAAAGGTGATCTTATAGACCACCAAATGGTAATCTTATAGAAGACAAAAAGGTTGACTTCTATAAGAACAAATGGTCGACCAAAAAGTCCGCTATATAGACCTCTAATGCTCGTCCTATTGAAGACGAAATTATCTTATAGAATTCTAAAAAGGTCTTCCAAGAGAAGATTAAAAAGGCTTTCTCATAAAAGGCCAAAAAGAGAATTATACTGGAAATGGTCCACTTACAGAGGACCTAATTGCCATCTTAATGAAGACAAAATTATGGACTTATAGAAGACTTAAAGAGCTGGATTCATTCAGAAGACCATAAAGTGATCATGCAGAAGACCAATGGTCATCTTATAGAAGACAAAAATGTCGACTTTTATAAGACGAAATGGTCGAGCTAATGGTCATATTATTGAAGACCAAATAATGGTATTATAGAAGACTTACAGAATAGGAATCATTCAGAAGACCAAAAGGTGTTCTTATAGAAGACCTAATGGTAATCTTATAGAAGACAAAAACATCGACTTCTATAAGACAAAATGGTCGACCTAATGGTCATCTTTTGGAAGATCAAATGATGGACTTTTAGAAGACTTAAAGAGCTTGAATCATTCAGAAGACCAAAAGGTGATCTTACAGAAGAAGGTCATCATATAGAAATCGACCTTTTTGTCTTCACCGTCAATATCAAATAACAGTTCTATTATTTTTTTTAACGTCGATTATGGCACAATAAATACGAATTCCATTTAGCGCAGCTGATGTCTCGATTAACTGTCAAAGTGGGTAATTTCTGCTTGAATTCGATGTACAGTGTTGCCAACCATGTTAAATTATTATGAAGAAAAATTTGACAGATGGTCCAGACAAAAACAAAGGTTTTTGTTTTGATACTCCACCTTATTATTGCATCATTGCGTCGATCATATTTGGCATGGTTCCGTTCTGCAAGAACCTACTAATTTTTACATAATATGTTATCGAAAAAAAATAGTAAAAAATTGTAGATTCCTGCAGTACGTGAGCATACCATATATGATTAAACAATTAAGCAAAAAGCAAGTGAAAACCAGTTTTAAACACATAACCTCAAAAATTTATTTCCATTAAATTAATTTTCATTAAAGTGGAGTACACACTATCAGTTGCAAATGACAGTTCAAATGGTCGACCAAATAGTCCACTTATAGACCTCTAAAGCTCTTATTAAATACCATGGCACAATAAATAGGTAGTCCATTTAGCGCAGTAGTCTCATTAACTGTCAAAGTGGTTAATTTCTATTTGAATTCTAAGAGCAATGTTGCCAACCATGAGAAATATTATAAAGAAAATGTTGACAGATGATCGAGACAAAAACAAAGGTTTTTGTTTTGATACATCACCTTATTATTGCATCATGATATGGAATGGTCGGGATACGTAGTCACTCATAATTTTCTTTATACATTTCAAGGATTTCAAGAAAGGACATTGGTTTTTTGCAAACACTTTGAGCCAAATTTTCGAATTTTTGCCCACCAATTTTCATATTTAAATTTTTTAATATTCCAAACAATATTTCTATTACCTTAAAAAATCTACAAAATATTTTTCATAATTTTCTTTTTAAATAATTTCCTATATGAAAAAAAAAAATAAATTAGGTAAAAAATGCAGAATAAAGGATATAAAATCATGTAATAATAAAAAATATTCTTCGTATCCATTTTACAAAAAATGAACAAATAAAACAAAAAAACCAACCGTACCGAATAATTAATAAAACCAATCATAAAATATTGTAGAAAAACAAAACAATTATGATAATAAACAACAAAGGTTTTCTATTTTTTATTTCGCTTTTATAATGACTACTCCAGAACCTGCAAGAATGTACAAGTTTTTACTACGATAACAATATTTCCTTTTTGTGATATCGAAAAATTTGTAAATTCTTTCAGTTCTGAAACAGAAATTTTTATAATACTGCTCTTAAGATTTACTTTTTTTTTTGGGTTTACTTTTGTATAAGAAATATTTATATTTATTTTATTTTTTTTAAGGAAAAAAACCTAGTAATTTTTTGTGTGCATATTAAAATTATTTTTTTTTTTTCAATTTTTTCTTCCTCGCCCCTTTTTTTGTAATAAAAAATCGCTCCTATTTTTTTTAATACAAATATACCTATATTATAAACAATTTTATAATAATACTACATATATAATAATATACATAATATGCCAATTTTTTTGGAAATAAATTTATTCAGTTTTTTTTCTATAATGCTTTAATAAAAAAAAATATAAATTAATAAAACAAAAATTAAATTACATATGTCCTATTTAATAAACAAAAAAATTTAATAATTAAACTTATTTTTTTTGTAATAATTATAAACAACAAAAAACAGTTTGCTTAGAAATTATACGTTATATGCCTTCGATATAATATTTTAAAAAAATAATATTAAAAAACATTAAAAATAAATTAAAAGTAATTAAAAAATAAAAAAAAAACTTTAAAATATATTCTTATTTTTAATTGGTTATTATTATCGAATTGTGTTGTTTTATTGGCTATTGGATTGAAGTTTATTTTCTGTTGCAAATTAATTAGTATTATTTTTTTAATTTAAATTAAAAAAAAAATTTTAAAACAAGGAACTAAATATAGGGATTGTTTATAAAAACTACTACTTTGTAACGAAGACAGCTAATACTTAAAGGAAAATTGTCAGCATTTAGAAGAATTTATTTTAAACAACAAGTTTTAAGCACATAACCTCAAAAATATATTTCCATGAAATTCATTTTCATTAAAATGGAGTACACACTATCAGTTGCAAATGACAGTTCAATTAATTTTTTTTATCATAACCTCAAAAATATATTCACATTAAATTAAATTGCATTAACGTTTTTTTTTCATTTTTGATCACTTTTTATGTATATTCCAGAATTTACAATAGATTCTTGCAGTACGGAAACGAACAATTATCCCCAAAAATCTCTCCATTTTTAATTTATGAATTTTCCATAGTCATATTGCATTCTATGGAGACTGATTGATTTCATAAAACATTTTTTTTTTTAATTCTACATCCTTCAGTTTGATACCCCTCTCCTCCCTTAATAACATACCCAATGTCTTCCCATCACCCATAAAAAATAGCCATATAAACCACACAAGAAAAAAGGTAATGTATCATTGCAATATTTTTTTCTCAACGCCATTTTATCATCAGTGCACATATATACATATACATTAAAATAAAAAATATATACATAACACAGATTTATCTGTATAATAAAGTAAAGGTTGCCATCTACAAAAAATACGGATAATTTTTTTTTATATATACATATAGAATATTTAAAAAAAAACGTAATTTATATATAAACGGATTAATAAATATAATATGATACAATAAAGCACTTTTTAGTATTGATCCACACTAACAAAAAACTAAAATAAAACATAATTATTATGTTATGCATAAGTAAATATAAAATAAATTTAAATGATATACAAGGTATAAAAATATGTCACATCGTCGAAATTCCAAAAACAGTGTCTAGTGGTAATAATAAAATTAAAATAATACAAATAAAAATTATGTATACAAGAATAACAAAAAATATTAATTTAAAAGAAGTTTTGTAATTAATTTCAGTATTCTATGTTATAAAGCGCGTTTAAACTACTAAATTCACTCGATTTCAAATGTCAATTCCAAAGCGTATACTTAACCTTAATCATATTTACAAATCCAGTGGATTATATTTGACGTATACGCTATGGAATTGACATTTGAAATCAAGTGGATTTCGTAAATGTAAACGCACTTTTGGGGGAAATTTTGATTTGAATTTTTACAATGTAAGTATATAATTTATCATATAAGAATTCCCTATTTTATAATTCAATTAAATTGTCTTTAGGCCTTTATTGAAATATTAAATAATATTCTTAATTATTTATATAGTTAGTTCTTCAATTCAACTATTCTGCCTCATGTAAACACAGTGTAAAACAAATGAACAGCTGTTATCGTTAAACCAACCAACTGCAATAGCAGTTAATCGATTTGTTCTCTCTCTCTTGCCTTTGTTATCGATTCACTTGAGTACTCGATTATTGGATTTTTCCCCTATCCCTAATCGTCAATTCTTTCCATGCCTCCTGATTCTCAACAATACGTTTTCCCCATTTTCCACTTTGTGTTCCTTTTCCTTATCGTTTAGTTTTCTTCTTCTTCTTTCTCCATGCCATTTGTGTGAATTCGAGCGAAGTTAGTGGCAGTTCTTGCTTTGATGTTGGTTGAGTAAGAGGTGGAAAAAAAAAAACACTTGATACAACGTTAATACACGGCAGTGGAAACGTGTGGAAATAAGAAGAAAATACACGCAATCATTTCGTATAAAATAAAGAAAATAATATACAAAAAATATACCACCAATAATATCTAACAAATGGCTTAATAAAATAACATAAGAATAAGAATTTAAATAATTAAGAAAAAATCGCAAGCAAAGTACAAAAGTCAAGCACGTGAAATTGCAAACCAAAAAGAAATTAAGAAAAAGACGAACATTCGTTGGCGGTCGGTCGCTCAGTGAGTGTGTTGTGTGTCAAACGAAAAGGGGAGGGTTGTGCAGAAAGTTAATGCGTGTATACGTTGCTCTACGTGTGTGCGTGCATGTGTGTGGTTTGTGCTTGCCATAGCAAGAAAAGTAGTGCATTTTTTCTTATTTTTTTATTGGAAAAGTGCAAATAATAGCACATTGTTTTGTAGTTGCTGGTCGTGTGGTGCCCTGCAAAGCAAAGAAAACGGAATTAAATGGTTCTTATTAAATAGTAGAAGAAGAAAACTCCCTCCGATTGCTGTTTTTTTACAAAAAAAGTTTAGTTTTAATAAAAACACCCCCATACCAAATACAACAAAAATATGGCCTACAAAGATCGCATTCTATCACCGCAACAATTAAAGAAATTGTCCGAACATAAATACTCATGTACGAATTCAAGTTTAATGGATCCATGGCTACAGCCCTGGTGGAATTGGCTGGTATCAAAAACTCCACTGTGGTTGGCACCAAATCTAATTACAATTGTGGGTTTGGCTGTAAATATAATTACAACTTTGATATTGGTCGCGTAAGTATGAGAAAAAGAACAAGAAATTAAAGAAAAAAAATAATGAATAGAAATAAGTATTGTTCAAAGAAATTTACATTATACATTTGTTCGATTGATTTGCTGCAAGTGTGTTTAATTTCTCTCTCTGTCGCTACTTGACCCTGAAAATCATTTCATTTTTATTTGGCAAACGAACACTAAACACAATTGCGCTAGATTTTCCTCCACAAACCGCACCGCCCAAACTCACCCCCTCTTATTTATTGTCTTTGGTTTTTGGCATGGTACAATTATAAAAGGTAACAGCAAATCCCAGCTGATTTGATTCCAACGTAATACTAGTGTCAATATAAATTTGACAAATTGTGTTTTTAAAAATCACCCAACAGGAAAATTGGGAACGCATACAATTTGAAATTGTTCTTTATTAATGTGGTCCCGTATTCAATTTACTCAATCTGCCTGCTGGGAAAGTTTGAGGAAGCAAATCTTTCTTGAAGGAATTACTCGCTTTTCCCAGCATTGTCATATGTGTTACACATATATATGGCAATGGCTCAATTAAAGGAAAGATGTGGAAGCGATAGAAATATAAATTTGATAGATTTTCATTCATGTTTTTCAATTTTTATTTTGAGGATTCGAAAATATTCCCTTTTTTAAAATAAAAATTATTTGATGATAATTTTTTTGTTTGTTTACATTTTTCTGTCAAATGAGTTGACACTAGTAGAACTTACAACAACAAATTTCCATGTGGGTGTTGTATCGTTTTTTGTACAACAACACTTGCTGTTACCTTTTATTATTATACCATGGGTTTTTGGCAGGAAGAGGAAGAATTCTAAAACGTCATCATTTTTTATTTTAAATGTCATTGCAGTAGATTTTGTGTGAGTGGAATAGGCTGCTTGTAATCTTTTTATTTATATCAACATGAATTCACATCTCTGCGGTCTACATGCATGTCTGCCGCCTGTCGTATCTTGCCTCGTTCCCTCTCTCTATCTTACTCTCTTTGCAAACACTTGTCATAACGTCTATTTCCTGTTATAAATTTAGATGAGGAAAACATTTTTGTAACAAGAAACATACAATGTAAGGCATTCGTTTTATTCTTGTTGTTGTTGCTGTGGCATTTAGCACACATATTAAAGACCCGTTAAATACTAGTTTCTTCTCCTAATATGTATGAATGACCCACTTATCTTGTTTTACTCTGCAAGATTGTGTTGTTGTATCGCTCTTCTTTGCTGACGTTGACTTGACTTTGCCTGCTTTCTGGCTAATCAGCTGTTCTTGAGTTATTTCCATTCTAGACAACGACAATGACTGTCCGTTTCTCTTCGCTGCTCTGCTGCTGCTCCTGATCTTTCATGTTTCACTTGACAATTGCAAAGAGATTAGACGGCTGACGGCTGTTTGATATTCATATCATGAACAAAATATACATGTGCGCCGCCGGCCGGTTAATACGTAATAAATAATGTCAAACAAAAAGTAAAATGAAAAAAAAATCGACAATATTAGAGAATCATTTATAATTATTACACTAGTTGTGAATAATTGTGAAAAAAAAATTAAGGAAATTGATGAGAGAATGACTAAGCAATTTATATAGAAAAAAGAGGGGGAAAAAATCTGTCAAACAAGACTTGAGACTTCGTTGAGGTAATGTTTATTGGGGAAGTAGGTAAGAAATAATTCTATGTATGGATATTTTTAAATTAAATTATAAAATAAAAACGTTTTTATTTTAGGGAAATGGAAAGTAATTTATACACTCCAACATAAGGGGGAACTTTGCAGGAATAGTGACATTTTTTTTAATTAAATTAACAAAAACGCATTCCAAAATGCTTGGACTTGACATGAGATTAGGTTTTTGTTAATGTTTGTGGGTATGTGTTGATAATTATTCTTACTAAAAATGGAACAATTCTAGTTTAGTAAAAACGATCAAATTTTTCTGAAATTTTTTCCAGAGGTAGGTATTTTTACCCTAATTATGGGGATATCTTTTTTTCTTGGGGGACGTACCCGGTTACCCGGTTATTTGACCCGGAAGTTCGGGTACGGGTACCCGGTTATATCCGGTTCTACGGATCCGGTTAATATAATATGGGTATCATTTTAAAGGTTATAAAAATACCTTTCCATTGAGTGGTAATATGATGGGGTTATCTCAAACCATTTTGGGGATATAGTCAAAAAACTGGGTTTTGGTCCCCGATTTTTTTGAAAAACTCCCTAAAAGTCGAACTTGGGTCCATTATAGTCCCTCTCCAAACAGGACCCAAATGATAAACCACAATTTGCCCTTTCCAAAATGGTGCGATATGTGACTGTATCTGTTGTGGATCAAAAGATATGGGCCTTAGAACCCTATAAAACAAGGAAAATCTTTCTACATGACAGAATCTCCTTTTAAATAGCATGGTGTTTTTTGGTTGACCGGCCTTCGGCCGGGGATTTAAGACTTTCTCCTATGGACAGATGCCAACACCGGCTAACGCGGCAGAAACTCCTTCTAAATAGAATATTTTTTTGTGTAGCCGGCCTTCGGCCGGGTATTTAAGACTTTCTCCTATGGACAGATACCAACACCGGCTAACGCGACAGAATCTCTTGTTAAATGGAATACTTTTTTGGGTGACCGGCCTTCGGCCGGGGATTTAAGACTTTCTCCTATGGACAGATGCCAACACCGGCTAACGCGCAGAAAATCCTTCTAAATAGAATATTTTTTTGTGTAGCCGGCCTTCGGCCGGGGATTTAAGACTTTCTCCTATGGACAGCTACCAACACCGGCTACGCGACAGAATCTCTTGTTAAATGGAATATTTTTTGGGTGACCGGCCTTCGGCCGGGGATTTAAGACTTTCTCCTATGGACAGATGCCAACACCGGCTAACGCGGCAGAAAATCCTTCTAAATAGAATATTTTTTGTGTAGCCGGCCTTCGGCCGGGGATTTAAGACTTTCTCCTATGGACAGATACCAACACCGGCTACGCGACAGAATTTTCTTGTTTTTGTAGGGTTCTAAGGCCCATATCTTTTGATCCACAACAGATACAGCCACATATCGCACCATTTTGGAAAGGGCAAATTGTGGTCTATCATTTGATTTTGGGTTAGAGAGGTACTATAATGGGCCCAAGTTCGACTTTTAGGGAGTTTTTCAAAAAAATCGGGGACCAAAACCCAGTTTTTTTACTATATCTCCAAAATGGTTTGAGATAACCCCATCATATTACCACTCAATGGAAAGGTATTTTTATAACCTTTAAAATGATACCCATATTATATTAACCGGATCCGTAGAACCGGATATAACCGGGTACCCGTACCCGAACTTCCGGGTAAAATAACCGGGTAACCGGGCACGTCCCCCAAGAAAAAAAGATATCCCCATAATTAGGGTAAAAATACCTACCTCTGGAAAATTTTTCAGAAAAATCTGATCGTTTTTACTAAACTAGAGTTAAGCCCTAAAAATCTAATAATTGTTTATAAATTTTACAGAGTGTTTCCAAAGGTCTAATGAAATTCCACATAGGAACAAGTCATGTTTAAAGTCATTGATTGAAATTGAAACTATCAGCCCAACGAGCCCAGATTTAAACAATTTACATACTTGCTGTTTTTTAATTTCAAAACGATTTCCTAGAAATAGGTGTTCAAAGATATTCTGTGCGTAGACAAGTTGCGATAAATCTACGTGAATAAATCAACTTTCAAACAGTAACATTTTAAACGGTTTCTCGAATGAAAATGTCAAACATTTACATATCGAAAGATTCCACAACGGAACGGCATATAAGTATGGTTTGCAACTTTCATCCCGAATGCCGAGTTACATGCTACCTAAGGACTATAGACGGATTAGGCTTTCTTCCTTTCTACTCAAGACACTAGAAAGGTTACTAGACTTCGAAATTTGGAATAACATCAATTTGAAAATGATTAGGAAATCCCAACATGCCTACATTAAAGGCAAATCTGTGTATACTGCCTACATGATGTGGTCGTTTCTGTCTCCTCTACTATGCCTTCTGGTGATAAAATTCGACCATCTCTTAAGATGAGGGTTGTAGCATATGCAGATGATGTAGTCCTGTTAGTCAGTTGGACATGTCTGCCGACTATCTCCGATATAATGCAGTATGCCTTATCAAATCTGTCTTACTTGGCCCAGGACAATTGTCTTGGGCTAAACTCCACGTATACAGAAATGGAACTCTTCGCTAAGAAACGTAAAATCGCAAAATTTAATCTGCCATATTTGGATGCAGCAATCATAAACCCTTCCTTAGTTGCAAAATACCTTGGCACAGTCCTTGATCAAAAGCTAAAGTGGAAAAGAACTGTTGTGGAGCGCATTAAGAAAGGTTTAAAAGCTCCTAACTCTTGCAAGAACTTGGGGGACTAAACTCCGAATTCGTACTTGCGTGGTGGCAGGGGGTCAACAAGCGTAAACTGCTTGCCAAAATGAGTAGCGTACAGCGGTCAGCGTCAATTGAAATTATAAACCTCTAGAATATCAATTTTAGAAGCTATAAACTCCTCCCAACTTCCCCCTTTTTGAAAATTTGAAGTTCGCTACCACCCCTTAGGAAATTTTGAAAACCCAACACCTGCAACCACAAATACTCCCTTCAATATTGATTACATCCACTTGAACTCTTAAAACAAAAAGATGACCATATGACAATATTTTAAAAATACAAAGTACTCCGTCTCAGATATTTCCAATAATAACTAAATGGTAGTTTCAACCCCCTAATTAATTTTACACCCCTTCCCAGCAATTCAATCCCAATTTTAGAAACCTTAAATTTTACTTAAAACCTAATTGTACTAAAATTAAAAGCACCAAAGCAACATTTTTGTGTATATATAGATTTAACCACATAATTACTATAATTTGAGGCTTAAAATAGTTAATACCCATGCGTAACGTATTTAAAAAAATGTTGGGATAGAAAATGAGGTCATCGTCATGCTAGAGAAAGT